ACGGCTACAAAATACCAAATTTCAGTGATTTCGGTTGAAAAACGCGCTCAAGAACCTCCAAATGCCGACATTTGGGGGTACCTTTATATGGGGGCTAACAGAAAAAAATTGACTTATATTTATAATTTTTAGTGGAGAGATTTTCTACCCAATAAGAACTCATATTACTAAATTACAGCCAATTCGGTAAAAAAAATCCAGTCAAAACCCCACAAAAACTGGAAATTGGGGGTACACTTATATGGGGGCTACCAGAAAAAGTGGAGCTATATTTATAATTTTTAGTATAGAGATTTGCTACCCAATAAGAACTCAAAGAACCGAATTTCAGCGAATTCGGCCGAAAAATGCAATGTACCAAATTTCAGTGAATTCGGTTGAACAACGCGCTCAAGAACCCAAAAATACTGAAAATTAGGAGGTACCGTTATATGGGGGCTATCAGAAAAAGTGGACCTATATTTATAATTTTTAGTGGAGACATTAAGTATCTAATAAGAACGCACTACGAGAAGCAGACATAAGATATTAATTATGAATCTTATGCGTCTAGTCTTAACATTATATCATGACATGTAGAAGGTAGTCAATTTCAAAGAATATAAAAATTAAAGGTTATAATATTATATGCATCTAACAAAATAATAATATATAGTTGCATGGGAAATTGTTTTTATAATTACACATGCTATGTGTAAATATATTTTTTAATATGAACTTGTAATCAATAAAATTCATATCACATTTTTTATGCACATTGTTCTCAAGATATGATTATATATTTTTAAACTTATATTTGTATTATATATTATAAAGGCACGAAACTTTAAAATGTTACAGAAAATAAATTCTTTTATAGTTATTACAATCACGTGTAAATTTTGAACATGAAGAAGAGTGCTAAGTACATTCGAAAAATAATAAAATTAGAAATCAAATGAATACATAAACATATGTTGTTACTTATTTCTATAAAAATGGAACTGATTTTTGAAATTATTATTTAGTGTTCAATTTTAAGTTTTACAGTAAAGACGAATTTCTCAAATTTAAAACCATTCAACTTCCTTGAAGTTGAAAATAATGTTGATATATGTGGAGCACATCATATTACCATTAGAGATCAAAATCATCCAAACGAAATGATGAATTCCACTACGGCACTAATATTCAGAAGTTTAACTATTGATAAATTTTTATTGTTGTTTATATTTCTGTTGACTTTCTTTACATGTTTTTATACATATTTGATATATAAATTTATAAATAAAAAATCTTTTTACTATTACTAGCTGTCAATTTTTTAAATTCTATACTTCTTTAACTCATAACCAGGCATTGTACTTGCATAGGTACGGAAAAGTCGTATAAAATATATAAAAAATTCCAAGCCTATTTGTTGCTCACTATAAATATACCATTTATAACTTCTTTCAAAAATGGGAATATTAAAACAAAACATCTCATTTAAATGTTGTATTTTCGATACCTACTATTGGTATAAAATACTCTTCACCTAGAAATATCTGTTTTATTTAGAATTTAAAATTGTGTACATAAAAAGGGTAAAAGTGCATATCATCACAAAATATCAACACGACTATTAACATGTTGCTTTAATATTATTGTTAACAATTAAATACATTTAATAAATATACACAAAAAATAACATGATACTTGTTTAATCAAATGCAAGCCGAAGGGTAAATGGGTAAATTATGATGCAACCAAAGGTACCTATAACAAATTTGTATCTAATGTACTATAAATCAACATACCCAACCTAAACCCAAATGAACCCAGTTTAACGTTAAAAAACCAACCAGAACCCATTGAACTCAAACCACGCCATCTAGTTTTGAAAAGTTTACGTTAGTAATACTAACTTTTAACTATTGATAATTTGTTATACCCTCCACCGTAGTATGGAGGGTATATTAATTTTGTCATTCCGTTTGTAACACATCGAAATATTCATTTCCGACCCTATAAAGTATATATATTCTTGATCAGGGTAAAATTCTAAGACGATCTAGCCATGTCCGTCCGTCTGCCCGTCCGTCTGTTGTAATCACGCTATCTTCTGAAGGAATTGAGATAGGGTGCTGAAATTTTGCACAAAGTTGTCTTTTGTCTGCAGGCAGGTCAAGTTCGAAGATGGGATATATCGGTCCACCCAAAATACTGAAAATTAGGAGGTTCCGTTATATGGGGGCTACCAGAAAATATGGACCTATACTTATAATTTTTTGTGGAGACATTTAGTATCCAATAAGAATCCAATGTACCAAATTTCAGCGAATTCGGCTGAAAAAGGCGCTTAAGAACCCTAAAATACCGAAATTTGCCGGGTACCCTTATATGGGAGCTATGCCTAAACGTGGACCGATATATCCCATCTTCGAACTTGACCTGCCTGCAGACAAAAGACAACCCTGTGCAAAATTTCAGCACCCTATCACAATTCCTTCAGAAGATAGCGTGATTACAACAGACGGACGGACAGACGGACGGACATGGCTAGATCGTCTTAGAATTTTACCCTGATCATGAATATATATACTTTATAGGGTCGGAAATGAATATTTCGAGGAGTTACAAACGGAATGACAAAATTAATATACCCTCCATACTATGGTGGAGGGTATAAAAATCTTATTAATTTTTATACCCTCCACCATAGTATGGAGGGTATATTAATTTTGTCATTCCGTTTGTAACTCACCGAAATATTCATTTCCGACCCTATAAAGTATATATATTCTTGATCAGGGTAAAATTCTAAGACGATCTAGCAATGTCCGTCCGTCTGTTGTAATCACGCTATCTTTCGAAGGAATTCAATTCAAGTTTTCAATTAAGTTTTACAGTAAAGACGAATTTCTCAAATTTAAAACCATTCAACTTCCTTGAAGTTGAAAATAATGTTGATATATGTGGAGCATATCATATTACTATTAGAGATCAAAATCATCCAAACGAAATGATGAATTCCACTACGGCACTAATATTCAGAAGTTTAACTATTGATAAATTTTTATTGTTGTTTATATTTCTGTTGACTTTCTTTACATGTTTTTATACATATTTGATATATAAATTTATAAATAAAAAATCTTTTTACTATTACTAGCTGTCAATTTTTTAAATTCTATACTTCTTTAACTCATAACCAGGCATTGTACTTGCATATGTACGGAAAAGTCGTATAAAATATATAAAAAATTCCAAGCCTATTTGTTGCTCACTATAAATATACCATTTATAACTTCTTTCAAAAATGGGAATATAAAAACAAAACATCTCATTTAAATGTTGCATTTTCGATACCAACTATTGGTATAAAATACTCTTCACCTAGAAATATCTGTTTTATTTAGAAATTAATGTGTACATAAAAAGGGTAAAAGTGCATATCATCACAAAATATCAACACGACTATTAACATGTTGCTTTAATATTATTGTTAACAATTAAATACATTTAATAAATATACACAAAAAATAACATGATACTTGTTTAATCAAATGCAAGCCGAAGGGTAAATGGGTAAATTATGATGCAACCAAAGGAACCTATAACAAATTTGTATCTAATGTACTATAAATCAACATACCCAACCTAAACCCAAATGAACCCAGTTTAACGTTAAAAAACCAACCAGAACCCATTGAACTCAAACCACGCCATCTAGTTTTGAAAAGTTTACGTTAGTAATACTAACTTTTAACTATTGATAATTTGTTATACCCTCCACCGTAGTATGGAGGGTATATTAATTTTGTCATTCCGTTTGTAACACATCGAAATATTCATTTCCGACCCTATAAAGTATATATATTCTTGATCAGGGTAAAATTCTAAGACGATCTAGCCATGTCCGTCCGTCTGCCCGTCCGTCTGTTGTAATCACGCTATCTTCTGAAGGAATTGAGATAGGGTGCTGAAATTTTGCACAAAGTTGTCTTTTGTCTGCAGGCAGGTCAAGTTCGAAGATGGGATATATCGGTCCACGTTTAGGCATAGCTCCCATATAAGGGTACCCCCCAATTTTCGGTATTTTTAAGGTTCCTGAGGGTGTTTTTAACCAAATTCGCTGAAATTTGGTACTTTGAGCTCTTATTGGGAAGCAAATTTCCCTACTAAAAATTATAAATATAGGTCAATTTTTTCTGGTACCCCCCATATAACGGTACCCCCAATTTTCGGTATTTTAAGGTTCTCGAGCGCGGTTTTCAACCAAATTCGCTGAAATTTGGTACTTTGAACTCTTGTTGGGAAGCAAATCTCCCTACTAAAACTTATAAATATAGGTAAATTTTTTCTGGTACCCCCCATATAACGGTACCCCCAATTTTCGGAATTTTAAGATTCTTGAGCGCGGTTTTCAACCGAATTCGCTGAAATTTGGCACATTGGGTTCTTAATAGGTTCCACATCTCTCCACCAAAAATTATGAATATAGGTCAATTTTTTCGGATAGCCCCCATATAAGAATACTCCCAATTTTCGGTATTTGGTGGTTCTTGAGCGCATTTTTCAACCGAATTTGCTGCAATTTGGTAATTTGTAGTCGTATATGGTAACAAATCTCTCTACCAAAAATGTTTAATATTCGCTATATAACCCCCGATATAACCCCCGTTTTATATTAAAATAGTTATCTGATTTGTTCCGCGTTTTGAGTTTGGTTGTAAGACTCTTTTGTAATCATTTCACCTGCGGAGGATAGTGAGATAAACAATTAGAACGTAAGGTTCGATAATGAACTATAGCCGTATTTAGACCTAGCCCCTATGTGGAGGTTTCAGAAGAAGTGGACCGATATTCTCCATCTTCGATTTTGAATTATCAATTAAAATTTTCTGAAATTTGTATTATGGTTTACATTATGGTATACATAATCCGTTTTTAGACATGTCGGTATAGGTCCACTTTTTGGTATGCTCCCCTTAATTTTCATTTCTAGTACCTGTCAGTATATCCATGGTGGAGGGTATCCAAAGTTCGGCCCGGCCGAACTTAACGCTTTTTCACTTGTTATACCCTCCACCATAGTATGGAGGGTATATTAATTTTGTCATTCCGTTTGTAACACATCGAAATACTCATTTCCGACCCTATAAAGTATATATATTCTTGATCAGGGTAAAATTCTAAGACGATCTAGCCATGTCCGTCCGTCCGTCTGTCCGTCCGTCCGTCTGTTGTAATCACGCTATCTTCTGAAGGAATTGAGATAGGGTGCTGAAATTTTGCATAGGGTTGTCTTTTGTCTGCAGGCAGGTCAAGTTCGAAGATGGGATATATCGGTCCACGTGTAGGCATAGCTCCCATATAACAGTACCTCCCAAATTTCGGTATTTTGGGGTTCTTGAGCTCGTTTTTCAACCGAATACGCTGAAAATTGGTACATTGAGTTCTTATTGGGTACTGAATGTTTCCACAAAAAATTATAAATATAGGTCCACTTTTTCTGGTAGCCCCCATATAACGGTACCTCCTAATTTTCAGTATTTTGGGGGTTTTGATCGTATTTTTCCACCGAATTGGCTGTAATTTAGTATTTTGAGTTCTTAATAGTTTCCAAATCTCTCCACAAAATATTATGAATATAGGTCTATTTTTTCGGATAGCCCCCATATAAGGGTACCCCCAATTTTCGGTATTTTGGGGTTCTTGAGCGCGTTTTTCAACCGAATACGCTGAAATTTAATACATTGGGTTCTTAATAGGTACAAAATCTCTCCACAAAAAATTATAAATATAGGTCAATTTTTTCGGATATCCCCCATATACGGATACCCCCCAATTTTTGGTATTTTGGGGTTCTTGAGCGCGTTTTTCTACCGAATACGCTGAAATTTGGTACATTGAGTTCTTAATAGTTTCCAAATCTCTCCACAAAATATTATGAATAAAGGTCCATTTTTTCGGATAGCCCCCATATAAGGGTACCCCCAATTTTCGGTATTTTGGGGTTCTTGAGCGCCGTTTTCAACCGAATTTGCTGCAATTTGGTATTTTGTAGTGGTATATGGTAACAAATCTCCCTACCAAAAATTATTAATATTCGCCCCCTTTTTGGGGTAGTCCCCATATACCCCCTTTTTTATATTAAAATATTTATCTGATTTGTTGCGCGTTTTGGGTTTGGTTCTAAGACCCTTTTGTAATCATTTCAACTGCAGAGGATAGAGAGATAAAAAATTAGAACGTTAGGTTCGGTAGTGAACTATAGCCGCATTTAGACCTAGCCCCTGATTGGAGGTTCCAGAAGGAGTGGACCGATATTCCCCATCTTCGAATTTGAACTAAGTTTGGAAGAAATAATAAGATGGGCAAAGTTCGGATGAAATCTAAATTTTCTGAAACGGATTTGGTCCAAAGAAACATGGGGTCTAGAACCAATATTTCGATGAGGCACATTTTCACCGTGTGAAAGTGTATACACACTAATTAGCCATAAGGCTGAGGGTATAATTATCCTTTAAAATTTTCTAAAATTTGTATTATGGTTTACATAATCCGTTTTTAGAAATGTCGGTATAGGTGCACTTTTTGGTATGTTCCCTATATTTTCATTTATAGTACCTGTCAATATATCTATGGTGGAGGGTATCCAAAGTTCGGCCCGGCCGAACTTACCGCTTTTTCACTTGTTTTATATTTAAGTTGACTTTTTACTCATTTTTACTGACAGGTACTAGAAATGAAAATAAAGGAAACATACCAAAAAGTGGACCTATACCGACATATCTAAAATCGGATTATGTAAACCATAATACAAATTTCAGAAATTTTTAATTGATAATTCAAATTCGAAGATGGGGAATATCGGTCCACTCCTTCTGAAACCTCCACAGAGGCTAGGTCTAAATGCGACTATAGTTCATTATCGAACCTTACGTTCTAATTTTTTACCTCGCTATCCTCTGCAGGTGAAATGATTACACTAGAGTCTTAGAACCAAACTCAAAACGCGGAACATATCAGATAACTATATTAATATAAAAAAGGGGGTTAGTCCCCAAAAGGGGGGGGCGAATGTTAATAATTTTTGGTAGAGAGATTTGGTACCTATTAAGAACTCAAAACACTAAATTACAGCCAATTCGGCGGAAACATACGACCAAAACCCCCAAAATACTGAAAATTAGGAGGTTCCGTTATATGGGGGCTAACAGAAAATATGGACCTATACTTATATTTTTTTGTGGAGACATTTAGTATCCAATAAGAACCCAATGTACCAAATTTCAGCGAATTCGGCTGAAAAAGGCGCTTAAGAACCCTAAAATACCGAAATTTGCCGGGTACCCTTATATGGGAGCTATGCCTAAACGTGGACCGATATATCCCATCTTCGAACTTGACCTGCCTGCAGACAAAAGACAACCCTGTGCAAAATTTCAGCACCCTATCTCAATTCCTTCAGAAGATAGCGTGATTACAACAGACGGACGGACAGACGGACGGACATGGCTAGATCGTCTTAGAATTTTACCCTGATCATGAATATATATACTTTATTGGGTCGGAAATGAATATTTCGAGGAGTTACAAACGGAATGACAAAATTAATATACCCTCCATACTATGGTGGAGGGTATAAAAATCTTATTAATTTTTATACCCTCCACCATAGTATGGAGGGTATATTAATTTTGTCATTCCGTTTGTAACTCACCGAAATATTCATTTCCGACCCTATAAAGTATATATATTCTTGATCAGGGTAAAATTCTAAGACGATCTAGCAATGTCCGTCCGTCTGTTGTAATCACGCTATCTTTCGAAGGAATTCAATTCAAGTTTTCAATTAAGTTTTGCAGTAAAGACGAATTTCTCAAATTTAAAACCATTCAACTTCCTTGAAGTTGAAAATAATGTTGATATATGTGGAGCACATCATATTACTATTAGAGATCAAAATCATCCAAACGAAATGATGAATTCCACTACGGCACTAATATTAAGAAGTTTAACTATTGATAAATTTTTATTGTTTTTTATATTTTTATTGACTTTCTTTACATGTTTTTATACATATTTGATATATAGATTTATAAATAAAAAATCTTTTTACTATTACTAGCTGTCAATTTTTTAAATTCTTTACTTCTTTAACTCATAACCAGGCATTGTACTTGCATAGGTACGGAAAAGTCGTATAAAATATATAAAAAATTCCAAGCCTATTTGTTGCTCACTATAAATATACCATTTATAACTTCTTTCAAAAATGGGAATATTAAAACAAAACATCTCATTTAAATGTTGTATTTTCGATACCTACTATTGGTATAAAATACTCTTCACCTAGAAATATCTGTTTTATTTAGAAATTAATGTGTACATAAAAAGGGTAAAAGTGCATATCATCACAAAATATCAACACGACTATTAACATGTTGCTTTAATATTATTGTTAACAATTAAATACATTTAATAAATATACACAAAAAATAACATGATACTTGTTTAATCAAATGCAAGCCGAAGGGTAAATGGGTAACTTATGATGCAACCAAAGGAACCTATAACAAATTTGTATCTAATGTACTATAAATCAACATACCCAACCTAAACCCAAATGAACCCAGTTTAACGTTAAAAAACCAACCAGAACCCATTGAACTCAAACCACGCCATCTAGTTTTGTAAAGTTTACGTTAGTATTACTAACTTTTAACTATTGATAATTTGTTATACCCTCCACCATAGTATGGAGGGAGGGTATAGTGAAAAAGATATACTGACAGGTACTAGAAATGAAAATAAAGGAAACATACCAAAAAGTGGACCTATACCGACATGTCTAAAATCGGATTATGTAAACCATAATACAAATTTCAGAAATTTGTAATTGATAATTCAAATTCGAAGATGGGGAATATCGGTCCACTCCTTCTGAAACCTCCACAGAGGCTAGGTCTAAATGCGACTATAGTTCATTATCGAACCTTACGTTCTAATTTTTTACCTCGCTATCCTCTGCAGGTGAAATGATTACACTAGAGTCTTAGAACCAAACTCAAAACGCGGAACATATCAGATAACTATATTAATATAAAAAAGGGGGTTAGTCCCCAAAAGGGGGGGGGCGAATATTAATAATTTTTGGTAGAGAGATTTGGTACCTATTAAGAACTCAAAACACTAAATTACAGCCAATTCGGCGGAAAAATACGACCAAAACCCCCCAAAATACTGAAAATTAGGAGGTTCCGTTATATGGGGGCTACCAGAAAATATGGACCTATACTTATAATTTTTTGTGGAGACATTTAGTATCCAATAAGAACCCAATGTACCAAATTTCAGCGAATTCGGCTGAAAAAGGCGCTTAAGAACCCTAAAATACCGAAATTTGCCGGGTACCCTTATATGGGAGCTATGCCTAAACGTGGACCGATATATCCCATCTTCGAACTTGACCTGCCTGCAGACAAAAGACAACCCTGTGCAAAATTTCAGCACCCTATCTCAATTCCTTCAGAAGATAGCGTGATTACAACAGACGGACGGACATGGCTAGATCGTCTTAGAATTTTACCCTGATCATGAATATATATACTTCATAGGGTCGGAAATGAATATTTCGAGGAGTTACAAACGGAATGACAAAATTAATATACCCTCCATACTATGGTGGAGGGTATAAAAATCTTATTAAACTCAAAACGCGGAACATATCAGATAACTATATTAATATAAAAAAGGGGGTTAGTCCCCAAAAGGGGGGGGGGGGGGCGAATATTAATAATTTTTGGTAGAGAGATTTGGTACCTATTAAGAACTCAAAACACTAAATTACAGCCAATTCGGCGGAAAAATACGACCAAAACCCCCAAAATACTGAAAATTAGGAGGTTCCGTTATATGGGGGCTACCAGAAAATATGGACCTATACTTATAATTTTTTGTGGAGACATTTAGTATCCAATAAGAACCCAATGTACCAAATTTCAGCGAATTCGGCTGAAAAAGGCGCTTAAGAACCCTAAAATACCGAAATTTGCCGGGTACCCTTATATGGGAGCTATGCCTAAACGTGGACCGATATATCCCATCTTCGAACTTGACCTGCCTGCAGACAAAAGACAACCCTGTGCAAAATTTCAGCACCCTATCTCAATTCCTTCAGAAGATAGCGTGATTACAACAGACGGAGGGTATAAAAATCTTATTAATTTTTATACCCTCCACCATAGTATGGAGGGTATATTAATTTTGTCATTCCGTTTGTAACTCACCGAAATATTCATTTCCGACCCTATAAAGTATATATATTCTTGATCAGGGTAAAATTCTAAGACGATCTAGCAATGTCCGTCCGTCTGTTGTAATCACGCTATCTTTCGAAGGAATTCAATTCAAGTTTTCAATTAAGTTTTGCAGTAAAGACGAATTTCTCAAATTTAAAACCATTCAACTTCCTTGAAGTTGAAAATAATGTTGATATATGTGGAGCACATCATATTACTATTAGAGATCAAAATCATCCAAACGAAATGATGAATTCCACTACGGCACTAATATTCAGAAGTTTAACTATTGATAAATTTTTATTGTTGTTTATATTTCTGTTGACTTTCTTTACATGTTTTTATACATATTTGATATATAAATTTATAAATAAAAAATCTTTTTACTATTACTAGCTGTCAATTTTTTAAATTCTATACTTCTTTAACTCATAACCAGGCATTGTACTTGCATAGGTACGGAAAAGTCGTATAAAATATATAAAAAATTCAAAGCCTATTTGGGATGGGAATGGGAATATTAAAACAAAACATCTCATTTAAATGTTGTATTTTCGATACCTACTATTGGTATAAAATACTCTTCACCTAGAAATATCTGTTTTATTTAGAAATTAATGTGTACATAAAAAGGGTAAAAGTGCATATCATCACAAAATATCAACACGACTATTAACATGTTGCTTTAATATTATTGTTAACAATTAAATACATTTAATAAATATACACAAAAAATAACATGATACTTGTTTAATCAAATGCAAGCCGAAGGGTAAATGGGTAACTTATGATGCAACCAAAGGAACCTATAACAAATTTGTATCTAATGTACTATAAATCAACATACCCAACCTAAACCCAAATGAACCCAGTCTAACGTTAAAAAAACCAACCAGAACCCATTGAACTCAAACCACGCCATCTAGTTTTGTAAAGTTTACGTTAGTATTACTAACTTTTAACTATTGATAATTTGTTATACCCTCCACCATAGTATGGAGGGAGGGTATAGTGAAAAAGCGTTAAGTTCGGCCGGGCCGAACTTTGTATACCCTCCACCATAGATATACTGACAGGTACTAGAAATGAAAATAAAGGAAACATACCAAAAAGTGGACCTATACCGACATGTCTAAAATCGGATTATGTAAACCATAATACAAATTTCAGAAATTTTTAATTGATAATTCAAATTCGAAGATGGGGAATATCGGTCCACTCCTTCTGAAACCTCCACAGAGGCTAGGTCTAAATGCGACTATAGTTCATTATCGAACCTTACGTTCTAATTTTTTACCTCGCTATACTCTGCAGGTAAAATGATTACACTAGAGTCTTACAACCAAACTCAAAACGCGGAACATATCAGATAACTATATTAATATAAAAAAGGGGGTTAGTCCCCAAAAGGGGGGGGGGCGAATATTAATAATTTTTGGTAGAGAGATTTGGTACCTATTAAGAACTCAAAACACTAAATTACAGCCAATTCGGCGGAAAAATACGACCAAAACCCCCAAAATACTGAAAATTAGGAGGTTCCGTTATATGGGGGCTACCAGAAAATATGGACCTATACTTATAATTTTTTGTGGAGACATTTAGTATCCAATAAGAACCCAATGTACCAAATTTCAGCGAATTCGGCTGAAAAAGGCGCTTAAGAACCCTAAAATACCGAAATTTGCCGGGTACCCTTATATGGGAGCTATGCCTAAACGTGGACCGATATATCCCATCTTCGAACTTGACCTGCCTGCAGACAAAAGACAACCCTGTGCAAAATTTCAGCACCCTATCTCAATTCCTTCAGAAGATAGCGTGATTACAACAGACGGACGGAAAGACGGACGGACATGGCTAGATCGTCTTAGAATTTTACCCTGATCATGAATATATATACTTTATAGGGTCGGAAATGAATATTTCGAGGAGTTACAAACGGAATGACAAAATTAATATACCCTCCATACTATGGTGGAGGGTATAAAAATTAATAAGATTTTTATACCCTCCACCATAGTATGGAGGGTATATTAATTTTGTCATTCCGTTTGTAACTCCTCGAAATATTCATTTCCGACCCTATAAAGTATATATATTCATGATCAGGGTAAAATTCTAAGACGATCTAGCCATGTCCGTCCGTCTGTTGTAATCACGCTATCTTTCGAAGGAATTGAGATAGGGTGCTGAAATTTTGCATAGGGTTGTCTTTTGTCTGGAAGCAGGTCAAGTTCGAAGATGGGATATATCGGTTTACGTTTAGGCATAGCTCCCATTTTTCCATTTCTTGAGCGCGTTTTTCAACCGAATTCGCTGAAATTTGGTACATTGGGTTCTTTCTGGGTACTAAATGTCTCCACAAAAAATTTTAAATATGGTTGACCTATTTTTCAACCGAATTCGCTGCAATTTGGTTTTTTATAGTCGTATATGGTAACAAGTATCTCTACCAAAAATTATTAACATTCGCCGCCCTTTTTGGGGTAGTCCCCATATAACCCCCTTTTTATACCCTCCACCATAGTATAGAGGGTATATTAATTTTGTCATTCCGTTTGTAACTCACCGAAATATTCATTTCCGACCCTATAAAGTATATATATTCTTGATCAGGGTAAAATTCTAAGACGATCAAGCCATGAGTAGTAGTAAGACATATGTTCTGCCCCAAGTTGCTTTATGCCAATTGCCCTACGCAAATTGATTTATGTTAATTGCTTTATACAAATGACGTAATCGGTCTGTATTGATGACTCATCCTTCTCTTTTCCTCTAGGTGTGTTGTGTGATCATATTGTGTTCTCTCTCTTTCCCTCTTATTGTTTTATGCCGTCCGTTTGTTCAATATTTTCTTTCGTCTTTCCCTAATGTGGTGCATTTATAATTGATTTACGCTAATTGCTTTACGCAAATGACGTAATTGCCGTCCGTCTGTTCAATATTTTCTTTCGTCTTTGCCCAATGTGGTCCATTTGTATGACCTTGATGACCCTGAAAGTTTATTGGTCCCCGAAATCAATAGCGCGTGTGTCCCATATTTGTTCTTTCCCCCCTTTGTTCCGTATATTTCCCGTAAGCTTATGTGTGTTTTCCCCTTTCCCTATCCACTTGTTTTCTTTTTTGTCTTGTCCAATGTGGTCCATTCGTATGACCTTGATGACCCTGAATCAATACCGCTTGTGTCCCATATTTGTTCTTCCCCCCTTTCTTCCGTATTTTTTCTGTAAGTGTCCCCCCTCTTCCCTCTTCACTTGTTTTCGTGATGCAGTGCGGCCACCGCTCTTGCCTACATTTATCCCCCCTTCTCTACCTACTTGTTTTTTCTTGGTTGCACAATATTGTGAAATACATGAAGCAGTGTCTCATATGATTGTCTATTGGAACAAGACTCAATCCGATCATGGGTATCTTATCAGAAAGAATTTGTTAGAATTTACAAGATGCAATGTCTGTCCATTGAGCCAATTTGAATCTTAAGTCTCTTATCAGCAAGTGTTTGTTGCTATGGTTGGAGAGGCGCCCATCGGTCTATAGATTCTACCAACACCATATGTCTGTCCCACTATTGATTATCTGTCATATTAGTATTATTATTGTTTCTAATATTTGAAGTGCGTCTGTCAGTTGAAACTATTGATCATGTGTTTGGATGCACAAGTGATAGTTATTAAGAACCCAATATGCCAAATTTCAGCGAATTCGGTTGAAAACCGCGCTCAAGAACCTTAAAATTCCGAAAATTGGGGTACCGTTATATGGGGGGTACCAGAAAAAATTGACCTATATTTATAATTTTAAGTAGGGAGATTTGCTTCCCAACAAGATAAATAAATTTCAGCGAAAATTGGGGGGTACCGTTATATGGGGGGTACCAGAAAAAATTGACCTATATTTATAATTTTTAGTAGGAAGATTTTTTTTAATTTCAGCGAATTCGATTGAAAAACACGCTCAGGAACCTCAAAATACCGAAAATTGGGGGGTACCCTTATATGGGAGCTATGCCTAAGCGTGGACCGATATATCCCATCTTCGAACTTGACCTGCCTGCAGACAAAAGACAAATTTGTGCAAAATTTCAGCACCCTATCTCAATTCCTTCAGAAGATAGCGTGATTACAACAGACGGACGGACAGACGGACGGATATTGGCTAGATCGTCTTAGAATTTTACCCTGATCAAGAATATATATACTTTATAGGGTCGGAAATGAATATTTCGATGTGTTACAAACGGAATGACAAAATTAGTATACCCTCCATACTATGGTGGAGGGTATAAAAAGGGGGTTATATCGGGGGTTATATAGCGAATATTAAACATTTTTAGTAGATAGATTTGTTACCATATACGACTACAAATTACCAAATTGCAGCAAATTCGGTTGAAAAATGCGCTCAAGAACCCCCAAATACCGAAAATTGGGGGTATTCTTATATGGGGGCTATCCGAAAAAATTAACCTATATTCATAATTTTTGGTGGAGAGATTTGGAACCTATTAAGAACCCAATGTGCCAAATATCAGCGAATTCGGTTGAAAACCTCGCTCAAGAACCTTAAAATTCCGAAAATTGGGGGTACCGTTATATTGGTGTACCAGAAAAAATTGACCTATATTTATAATTGTTAGTAGGGAGATTTGCTTCCCAACAAGAGCTCAAAGTACCAAATTTCAGCGAATTTGGTTGAAAACCGCGCTCAAGAACCTTAAAATACCGAAAATTGGGGGTACCGTTATATGGGGGGTACCAGAAGAAATTGACCTATATTTATAATTTTTAGTAGGGAGATTTGCTTCCCAATAAGAGCTCAAAGTACCAAATTTCAGCGAATTCGGTTGAAAAACACGCTCAGGAACCTCAAAATACCGAAAATTGGGGGGTACCCTTATATGGGAGCTATGCCTAAACGTGGACCGATATATCCCATCTTCGAACTTGACCTGCCTGCAGACAAAAGACAACTTTGTGCAAAATTTCAGCACCCTATCTCAATTCCTTCAGAAGATAACGTGATTACAACAGACGGACGGACGGACAGATGGACGGACATGGCTAGATCGTCTTAGAATTTTACCCTGATCAAGAATATATATACTTTATAGGGTCGGAAATGAATATTTCGATGTGTTACAAACGGAATGACAAAATTAATATACCCTCGATACTATGGTGGAGGGTATAATAAAGAAGTAGTTATTGATATAATATTTTCTTCTCTAGATATAAGTTAGAGTTATGCTAAGTTTAAGCTATAGTTATGCAGGTTCGATTAATTTGTATTAACAATAAAATAGAGAAATAAAATAATCGAAATAAATGTTCTAAAACTCAATATACTGCATTACAATTCTAAATCATCAATTCTGTCTATTGAACATGGAACATAAAGAACAAACAACTATGAAAATTTAAATACATAATATATTAATCGTTTTTAAAGTGATCTAAAGTATTTTTTTCTTATTGGGGTATATTGAAAAGTATGGTTTGGGCTTGATTTGTTTCAAAAATATAGTTAATTGGTATTATTTTGTTTGTGTCTTTGTATCATTAAACATGATAGAAATATAGAATGTAATATATTTTTGAAAACTTTTCTAGAAAACCAGGATTTGTATCAGAATCTAAAATGGAATTAAACCCATTTCAATATATATATATAGTCACTATTTTTGAGTGTGTTACAATTATGATCATAATATAATCATATATGTTAACTAGAGTTAAAATGGCACAAAACTACAAAAACATAATAAAATGCATTTAAAACATAAGACTTTTTCCATAGCTATGCAAGTACAATGGCTAAATCGATAACTAGTAATATTAATAAGATTTTTTATTTATAAATTTAAATATCAAATATGTATAAAAACATATATAAAAAGTCAGCTGAAATATAAATAATTATCAATAATTAAAAATTTAGTACTACTAACGTAAAATTTTCAGAATTAGATGGCGTAGTTTGAGTTCAATGGGTTCTGGTTGGTTGTTATAACGATAAACTGGGGTTCATTTGGGTTCGGGATGGGTTTCGTTTAGGTTGGGTATGTTGATTTTTTAGTATATTGGATATAAATTTGTTATAGGTTCCTTTGGTTACATCATAAATTACCCATTTACCCTTTGGCTAGCATTTGATTAAACAAGTATCATGTTATTTTTGTGTATATTTATTAAATATATTTAATTAGTATAGTTTGCAATAATAAAAAAGTAACTTGTTAATAGTAATGCTAATATTTTGTGATGATATGCACTTTTACCCTTTTTATGCATACATTAATATCTAAATAAAACAGGTATTTCTAGGAGAAGAGTATTTTATACCAATAGTAGGAATCGAAAATGTAACACTTCAAATCAGTATATATTAGATATCGGATATAAGCACATCTCATATAAGAAAAAATCGAATATAAGAACGATTATCAAAAAAAACCGAAAACTTCATATAACAAAAACGCGAATAAGAAAAACACTGATAAAAGAAATGTTTGTCAAACACCAAAGGTGACAAAGGTATTTGACACGTTTCATATAAGAAAATATTTAAGATTGATGGCCACACTGAAGATGTTTACCTATTGTTAGTCAAACAATGAACTGATTTTAACTTTGTTATTTTTGTTTATTTAAATTTTTAGTTTTTAAGATACTGAATTTGTTCTTGGTAAACTGTTACTTAATTTAGTAACTTTGTATTTTTCTATACTGAAAAGTTTTATTTAATAAACGATTGTTCTTTAAAACATGCTTTTCATTTAAACATTTTATTTTAAGAAAATATATTCGTATAAGAAATAGATTTCTTATATGCGTATGTACTCTTATAAGAAACAACTTTCTTATATATGACAATCCCATATATGAAGAGAACGCATGTAAGAAAGAAATCTCTGACTTTTTTGAAGTTTCTTATATCCGATATCTACTGTATATTTACAGTAAGCAACAAATATGTTTGGAATTTTTTATATATTTTCTTTCCGTATCTATGCAAGTACAATGCCTAGAAGTATAGAATTTAAAAACTTGACAGCTAGTAATAGTAATAAGATTTTTTATTTATAAATTTATATATCAAATATGTATAAAAACATGTAAAGAAAGTCAACAGAAATATAAAAAACAATAAAAATTTATCAATAGTTAAACTTCTTAATATTAGTGC